AATGTACTGTAATCGAGATACCAAATCAGGACTAACAATATTGCAGATTCTTGTTTTAATATTGATATATACACATGTTGTGATTTGGAATTTTTTGGAAAATAATTTAATTAATGATCTTGAAAAAAATTCGCGACACACCTATGATACTCTTACGGCTGATCAGTGTGCCGCGGCAGATCACTGCTTGAAAATCACTGATCTAAGCAAAAACCAAACCAAATTCTTGCTCGGTTCGATTGATTTGCAATATTTGATCATTCGCGAAGGGTGAAAAATATCGGAGAAAGACTTTGGAAAAGAAAAGCTGTGCATTCAGAAGAACGTAAAAAATTCGACGTCAGCCTCAATTTGATGTCGAAAGGGCAGCAGTGTTGCCAATGGTGACGGTGAAATGACAGCATTGCAAAATGAACAAACGAGAGCGCGTCCTAATCAGCAGAGAAAGGGAAAGAAGTGAAAAGGTGTAGAAGAAGGTGAGTGAGTAAAAGAAAGAAAGAAAGAAAGAAAGAAAGAAAGAAAGAAAGAAAGAAAGAAAGAAAGAATATTGGAGAAGAGAAAATAGGAGAGAAAGATAGGAAAAGAACGCAGAAAAGAGTGGTAGTAGAGGAGGTGTGTAAAAGATAGGGAAAAGTTAGAAGAAGAAGAAGAAGAAGAAGAAGAAGAAGAAGAAGAAGAAGAAGAAGAAGAAGAAGAAGAAGAAAACAGTAAGAAGAAATAGTGTGAAAATGATGACAAAAGATGCAAGGAAAGACGTGTGAGAGACAATAAACATGATAGCGAAAGAAAGAAAGAAAGAAAGAAGAAGAAGAAGAAGAAGAAGAAAACGAAAAAGAAGAACAACAACAACAAATTGTAAAAAAAAGCAGGAAGAAGAAATAGTGTGAAAATGATGACAAAAGATGCAAGGAAAGACGTGTGAGAGACAATAAACATGATAGCGAAAGAAAGAAAGAAAGAAAGAAAGAAGAAGAAGAAGAAGAAGAAGAAGAAGAAGAAGAAGAAAACGAAAAAGAAGAACAACAACAACAAATTGTAAAAAAAAGCAGGAAGAAGAAATAGTGTGAAAATGATGACAAAAGATGCAAGGAAAGACGTGTAAGAGACAATAAACATGATAGCGAAAGAAAAAGAAAAAAAAGAAAGAAAGAAAGAAAGAAAGAAAGAAGAAGAAGAAGAAGAAGAAGAAGAAGAAGAACGAAAAAAAGAAGAAGAAAACGAAAAAGAAAAGAAAAAAAAAAAGAAAGAAGAAAAATGAAGAAAGAAGAAGAAAAAAGATAGCGAAAGAAAGAAAGAAAAAAAGAAGAAGAAAAGAAGAAGAAAAGAAGAAGAAGAAAAAAAGAAGAAGAAAACGAAAAAGAAGAAGAAAAAAAAATTGCAAAAAAAGGAAGAAGAAATAGTGTGAAAATGATGACAAAAGCTGCAAGGAAAGACGTGTGAGAGACAATAAAAAATGATAGCGAAAGAAAGAAAGAAGAAGAAGAAGAAGAAGAAGAAGAAGAAGAAGAAGAAGAAGAAGAAGAAAAAGAAGAAGAAGAACAAACTGTAAAAGAAAAGGCAGGAAGAAGAAATAGTGTGAAAATGATGACAAAAGATGCAAGGAAAGACGTGTGAGAGGCAATAAAAATGATAGCGAAAGAAAGAAAGAAGAAGAAGAAGAAGAAGAAGAAGAAGAAGAACAAGAACAAGAACAAGAACAAGAACAAGAAGGTTGAGTGATTGGAGAAACGAGTAGTAAAATAACAAAAGCATGAAAGAAGGAAGAGGAAGTGTAAGAGACAAGAAGAAATAACAAAATAAAGAAGGAGTGGGAGGAGGAGAATAAGGAAGAGGAGGAGGAGAATCAGTTCTTACTAAACGAATGAATAAATATGGCCGGTGATAACGGGAGCCTGCAAATTTTCAGAATTCGAAAAGGTTAATCGCCTTGTGAAGGGAAGGCAAGGAGGACAAACCTTTTTAGTGAAAGAACTACACACACACACACACACTCTGTTGTGCATAATTTTAACCTATATATATACTAATCCACTTGTAAATAAATGTTAGCTACATTTGTCTCTTTAAATATATATATTGGGTTCAAATATAGATCAAATATGGATCGGAATCTAAGAGAATGATAAAATAAAAAACAAATAGGAAACGTTTATCAATCTAAAATGTTTCATTTTTATTAAAGCTTCATCAGAGAATGAGATATGGAGAAAAAAGAAATTCTTGTATTTTTATTTTTATGTTGTTTGACTTTCATTGGTTAATCAGGTTTGACGTGCATTCGACTTTTTAAACCAAAGCTTAGAAGAATTTATGGCGTTCCGAATTCAAATAGAGACAATGTGTCGATCCAGAGTTTGAAGAATTTAACGGATTTCAAGATTACCTGAAAAAAACGTTAATATTGCTTCATATGTGTAAAAGTAAAATAATTTAAATTTTCTTTATGGTATTCATTTATGGGATAATAAGATATATTTGTAAGTGTGTGTGTGTGTGTGTGTGTGTGTGTGTGTGTGTGTGTGTGTGTGTGTGTGTGAAGTAGTAGTAGTAGTAGTAGTAGTAGGTATTAAGTTTGTTAGTTTTTCTTATGTTGATTTGGGAACGTTATTACGGACATACCGTTCGGAGTCAATAAAGGCTAGCGATGTAATATAATGTTTTTGATGTGTGTTTATAGTTGGTAATATTGTTATTAGTAGGCTCTCGAAGGACTAGATTCCTAAAGAAGTGTGTTCTTTTTTAATTAGGATAACATTAGTAAAATCAAATATGTATATATCTTTTTTATTATTCCATAGATTCTTCCAGAATTTTTAACACATTTTCCTCGATATAGTTTTCATCTTTCCTTTATTGTCTCACTAGAATCTATCTTGCAAATATATATATATCTAGCATTCGTCCATGCACCGAATATCGTTAATAAAACTGGTCCGGTGTTTCTGCTATGTACCTAGAGATTCTTGACAAAATCCAAATGAAGAATCGGCAATGACACTGATCCTGACTTCAATCACATTGCCACCAACAACGTAGCTTCCCTGTACCATTTTCTATAAATATTTTCATGGTAATTGTTCTGAAGAGCTTTCTTTTTCGGCATCTCAACTTGATGAATTCACGGGTTGTACTGGATTGGTTGCTAGGTCTCATAATTTTACCAATAACTGGTACTTCTCTTGCTACTGTGGAATTCTTAGCCGTTTTTTTCTTTCCTGCCAATTACTTAATATTCAGTCTTTTTTTTTAATTCAGTTCTTTTATTGCCCATTACCCTCAATAACGTTTCCTCGGTTTCTTTCACACTTAGTAACAGCTTGCGCCTTAGAGGCTTTATTCCCTTGCTTGGAGAGAAATGATTATATATATATATATATATATATTTCATTGAAAACGACAGACAAGGTGCTTTTTTATTTTTTTATAAATGTATAGCCGAAAGCGCTCGGAACATTCGGACAGTTTTTATATAATTTCCTGAAAAGAAAAAAAATATTAGATCGCATGAGAAATTGTATAAAAAACTAAATAAAAGCACCTTGTCTGTCGTATTAATGAAATATTCATGAAAGAAGGATTGCTGCCTAAATACACAAATCAACAACAAATCCTAGCAAAATTAATCATATACTACGCTAAATCTAGTATATCCGACTTAATTCTTCGCAATGATTCTTTTCCCCCGGTTAGCGATTTGCAAAAAAAAAACAACATAGTTTATAAATTCGAGTGCCCTTTGGGAGATTGTATTTCCAACGAATTAAATAATATTTATGTTGGTCACACCGCAAACTCGCTCTCACGACGCTTGACACTACATTTAAATGAAAACTCTAACATTTTTAGGCATTTAAAACAACATGCCTGGCCGCATACACAATTCCGTAAAATCCTTGTCGAAAAGACAATTATACTTAAATATGAAAACAATAAACAAAAACTAAAAATACTTGAAGCTATATACATCAAACAGTTGAAACCTAACCTAAACAAAATCCACTATGGAATCGATACAAATATCCTTAAATGTCTATAAATGGTAACAGAAGCCATTGATTTATACCAACGGCTTCCCATACTTAATACTTCTCGAATTCACTCTAGCGTGGCCATGTGTTACGTCATGAGCTGCGGTGCGATTTTCGCTTCTAGCGTCTTATATGCACGTGTTTATCGTTGCTTGAAAATCATCAATGTAAACAATAACAGGCTATCATCACTCTCTTGTCCGTATATTGCTTAATATATTGTACTGTACTTGTCACCTTTGATAATGGCTTATGTAAGCCGAAAGCTTAGATTGGATTAAAAAATATGGATCAATATTGTGATTTACTTTCTTCGTTTAATGATAATGTTATTTAGCTTATCAGACGTTATGAAAAGAATTTACATAAAATAAATAGACAACACTTGTCTATATTATTTAATGAAACATGTATGAATATATATATGTGTGTGTGTGTGTGTGTGTGTGTGTGTGTGTGTGTGTGTGTGTGTGTAGATTTCGGATAGAGTATACATGAATAAGGACAAAGGAAAACTTATCCGACGCGTTTTGTCCTCTGAGGGACTTTATCAAACCAAATGTAATGATATTATTTTGTGACAAGTATTTATATACAAAAGCAAAAATGTTATTGGTTTTTCACAATTTTTATATCATCAGGTTAACAGGAAGATCAGGCACGTCCATGGACATAAGGTGATACAATTCAATGTCTAACAAATGAAAGTAAGTAGGTGATTATAGATAGATAGATAGATAGATAGATAGATACGAACAGACAAGACATAGATGATAGATAGATAGATAGATAGATAGATAGATAGATAGATAGATAGATAGATAGATAGATACGAACAGACAAGACATAGATAGATAGATAGATAGATAGATAGATAGATAGATAGATAGATAGATAGATATTCAATTTAAATAGAAAAAAAACAACATTAAGGGTCCATTGGTTATATGGTTTTTTACCTGATTCCTCAGACTGCACTTCCAATGGTGAAAAAATGTTTTAAATTTACTTTAAATTAATAATTGCTCTGATTTGGCATTTAGCTCTCTGGATTACATCCTCCTTGGGATTATCCATGCGAATTACCAAACTTTTTATTAATTATAATACTTATTTTTATTACTTATATATATATATATATATATATATATATATATATATATATATATATATATATATATATATATATCCTTCTTCTTTTTTTGTTATCATTTTTTCTTGTCTCTTACACTTCCTCTTCCTTCCTTCTTTCATGCTTTTGTTATTTTATTATTCGTTTCTCCAATCACTCAACCTTCTTCTTCTTCTTCTTCTTCTTTCTTTATTTATTTATTTCTTTTGCTGTCATTTTTTATATTATATATATATATATTGTAATTATTTAAAAAATATATGATTCATCGCTACATAAGAGTTCTCATGTTTCTTATGCAGCGATGGCATCATATTTTTAAAAAAAGAATTATAATTTAGGCTCTACTTATGTATTGAGCACTGTTTTGTAAAAATAAAAACAAAAATGCTAAAGACCTTTGGATTATTAACCTAACTGTTCTTTTCCTATTTTTCTACATATTTGCACCTCCCCCCATATATATATATATATATATATATATATATATATATATTATTAATTTAAATATACAATTTAAATGCTGCAAACATGCCTATAGAGGATTTCTGAACTTGCTGCTGAAAACCGAGCAAACTGAGAAATACCTGCTACCGAAGTGTAACTAATTTTGAAAAGAATTGTCTCAATTATCTGAGAGAATTAAAAACCAACATTAAATCTCGGGCTAATACATCAGACCATATAACGGTCAACCCTTCAGTATGCCCTTCGTGTGGACTTGTTTGTGTCATGGGTCCTTACCTATAACTACAGAATGAACTCTTCCTAACACTCTGTATACTACGCCTCTCAAGAGAGAGGGTCGAATCGAGTCGAGCCGATAGTTGTTCACTCCAAACCAGACTGACAGTCATACTAACACCTTCCACATCTTGTATTATTATTTTGTGTAATATACCTTCGTTATTTTCTACTCTTGTGTTCGTGTTGTTCTTCCTTGGTCCTAACCTGGACCATAACAGTTTGCAAATTCCCTGCAGGATTGATGTCTCATATGAAATATAAACATAAAAACTGAACTGAAAGACACTCATACGTCGAAAACATCATATATATATATATATATATATATATATATATATATATATATATACACACATACATACATACATATATATATATATGTGTGTGTGTGTGTGTGTGTGTGTGTGTGTGTAAATTAGTATTTAAATTATTTTCCATTGGGACTGATTTACGTGTTATATTTTTTGTATAACATGAGTTTGTGGATATAACTGTTTGTTTTTTTTTTAAATCTTTTAACATTTTTGTTGTCATATATCTTGGCTTTCAGGAAAGAAGATATTGGAAAGAATTCAGGGCACTGATTTTTATTTTGATTCGATAGCAGGACTTTTGAGAATTTTTCTCCCGTAATCCTGATTTATATCCATGAACACTCTTATACCTAAAAATTTTGAATAAGATCTTGTGTATTGGGATAAAACTCGAGGATAAATTGTCCGAAGTTCCTGTTCGTGGTGTTGTTTGATCATTCTAGACCATTACAGTCATTTTCAAGTACCATTATGGCGTCTGTGTGGTAGGTAAAATTCCTTTGTCTATATCCTGGTTCTAAGAACATATGCATACATCACATTGATTCGTGGAAATCACTAAGACAATCGAAAATACTTGAACAAACAAAAACGTAATCATGAACTTCATACAATTTATTTACACTATTTACAATGTTCGGACTGTTGTCCTCATCTTTATTGTCATATTCACGAAGTTTCGCCCGTTTTACGCTCTGGTCTTCTTCAGGAATTATCTTTATTTCTGAGATGAGGTATTGTAATTATTTATTTACATTGTTCGGACTGTTGTCCTCATCTTTATTGTCATATTCACGACGTTTCAGCCGTTGTAAGCTTCGGCCTTCCTTCAGGTGTTATATATTAGAATTTCGAATCGCACCCGTTATTTAGTAGTCTATGGAGGGAGGATATTGTTCCCAAAGACACATGGACCAGTGGATAAAAGCGTTGGTTAAAGTAATCCAGTGACTTGAAATTAAATAATGACTTAGTTTCATTTGATTTTTTTATTTTACGATTCAGAGTAGATTTTCTTAAACTGGGGGTCCTGTTTGACCCCCCAAAAATTGATGATATAAATTCTCAGTACTTATAACTAAAATAATCATTAATTGCTACAAAGAAGAATTTCTCGAAATTCCATAAAATTAAATAAGTAGGGCGTAACAGATTTAAAAAAAAACTGTTCTTAACAAGATTTTCTCAAAAAAAAAAAAAAAAATTTCAAATATTATTTCAATCATTTGTGAATAAGTTCAGAATATTTTATTAAAATCTGACAATTATCTGATTTTTGTGAGTATTTCCAAATCAATGTGTTTTACACCACAAAAAGAGTTTCACATTTCTCCTACTAATCTGTTTCACCTTTTACGCCAGAGAAACAAGATATTTGGGTTCTAAAATGGGTTAAAAATCATTTTTATGTATAAAAAAAATCCTTTGCTCTTTCTTAATAATAACACAAATTGCGAATCTTTGGAGATACCTATTTTGTAGCATGCCTACAGACGATAATGGGCATGCCCCCATTCACAGAAATAAATACTGTATGTTGGTCTGCTGTCGGAGATTTGTCTCCAGCTGTGTTGGCCAGAGAGGATCCCCAGACAAGGCTGTCGAAGGGCAGACTCTCATCTCGGGAAACTTCTACGCGACCCCATTTTATACGGAGTCTACAGGGAATTTTTGGCCGAGCTTACGGGCTCGGATACCCAACATTAAATTCGGCCTCGTGCCACATCTGACCGCGTGCGGCGGTTGGTACTTATCCCGCAGTTGGAGATTCATTATGGAATTCAATTGACTCACTTCTAGCAAATGACTACTTCTTCTACCGCCGCTGGCGAATATTATATGTGTTGTTCTTGTCCTAAGTATTATCGTTAATTACCAACTTTCGTGTGATTATTCTATTCAGTAACCTTCCTTGTTACAACACCTATATATATATATATATATATATATATATATATATATATATATATATATATATATATATATATATATTGATTTAAAATATTTTTTTTTCCGCTACACAGTTCCAAAATTAGATTCGGGGTTTTTAGCTTCTATTTTTGAAACATGGTTGGAACTGTATAGCGAAAAAAAACCATATTTTAAATCCCGCAATATAATTTGACCCAAATAAATAAACAAACGACTTCCGGTAAAATAACCGCCATAATAGAATACCCACAATGCACCACTAACCCGTATATATATAAACAGCCGAGAAAAATAACAGCATATGTGGCCTGACGATTGCATATAGCATGAAACAGACTGTCGCCTGTAAGTGTTGACTTCTATGTTCATTTTTATATTTATATTTACACGCTCTATCTCTGATATTGAGCGCTTTATTCCATAAATATAGCATACCTTAAGACTATATTTCTTTATATATATATATATATATATATATATATATGAGTAAAATATAGTTTGAAGGTATGTTATATTTATATATAGAGCGGGTGTAAATATAAAAGTGGACACTGATGTCAACACCTAGCGGAAACAGACTGTTACATGCTTGAACGCATACTTTAGGCCACAAAGATTACGTTCAAGTATAAAACTGACTGGTGCCGCCCGTGTTAATCCAACTGTCTATTTTATATTTACACACAGACACACACACACACACATATATATATATATATATATATATATATATATATATATATATATATATAGGTGTTGTAACTTAGGAAGGTTACTGAATAGAATAATCACACGAAAGTTGTTAATGAACGATAATACTTAGGACAAGAACAACACATATAAGATTCGCCAGCGGCGCGTAGAAGAAGAAGTCATCTGCTAGAAGTGAGTCAAATGAATTCCATAATGAATCTCCAACTGCGGGATAACTACCAACCGCCGCACGCGGTCAAATGTGGCACGAGGCCGAATTTAATGTTGGGTATCCGAGCATGAAACAGACTGTCGTCTGTAAGTGTTGACTTCCATGTTATATATATATATATATATATATATATATATAATACCACTGATTATAATGTTTATAGTAATAACTTGTACACATATATAAACACACAGAGGCATACTCGCATGTGTATATATATATATATATATATATATTTAATTTATGTAATTAATAATTAGTAAAAGGTTTGTTACTTAGCTGATTGATGTTACCTTCAGAATCCTGGCTCCTGAGTTTCGTAGACGGCTCCTCCGGGAATTACAACCTCCACTCAGCAGTGTGTATCAGCAATAAAATGAAGACTCTTTGTGTGTGTGTGTGCGTGTGTGTGTGTGTGTGTGTGTGTGTGTGTGTGTGTTATACTCGATGGTTCACGAATTCCGCCTAATAAGCTGCACTACATAGAATATGAACCCGTAAATTGTCCGTTATGTTTACACTCGCCTTGTTTTCAAATCTTGTTCGTCCCCGTTTGAGTTTTCTAACTGCGCCTGTTACGTGATATCTGTCTCCCTGTATGGTAGCATGTGCTGGACAATAATCTCGAAGATGGAGAAGAGAACTGAAGCAACAGAAAGGCGGTTCTACAGAAGCACGCTGAGGATACCATGGACCGAACATGTGAGCAACGACGAAGTTTTAGATAAAATGGAAACAAAAAGCAAACATACTTAGTATCAGAAAGAGACAGTTGAGGTCTCTACGCCAATGAGGTAGGAGGGTTTGGAAAATCTGATACTCAGAGAACAGATTGAATGCGAGAGAGACGGAGGAACACTGCTCATGAATTACTTAGTGTGCTTAAGTAAGTGAATGCTTGAATAGGGTTTAGGAGAAATAA